CCACTGCCGAACTCTTTGTGGTTACAGGCGAGATTAGCATACTTCCTTAATTCAGTGTTAATGTTTTGATTTATGTACAATTGTTCCATGTTTTTCCTCATTCTTTACAACTTCTGTTTAAAAACCTTTGGTCAGAAGCATTTCAGAAACAATGCTTTGAGAGCAGTTGAACCCATTGCTGAGGTCAATGAAGCTTTGATTAGAAGTAATAAAATGGTCCTAACACTAAATCACTGCGTAAATACATTTAAGCTTAAAGTGAAAACATGTAAATAAAAAAAAAGGAAGAACAAATTAAACATTTGTATTCTTACAAATCAGCAGTTGACCTCATGAGCAATAGATTGCATCTTTATACACTTATGAATTTTGCAGCCACAGCTAATGTTAGATAACTTTAAGACAGACATTGCTGCGTAACTGATATTGCTAAATTAGTTTGCTGACTTCTTTGTTGGTGATACTGTTACATGTTTTAGTATCTCACAGATGAACATTTTAAATAAACTTGTGTGTTTACAAGAAAGACTGTAGCAGCAAAACCTCTGAGTGTATTGAAATGATTAAGTCATTGTCTTATAGCTTTTTAACTTGTAAGAGAAAAAATCATCCTCTCTAAAAAGCGACATAGTCTCACTTTAATATTTTTGTTATAACTGTAGCTGCATGTAGTAAATGCAAATTCAAAGTAAGTCTTTTTTTTTTTCCTCCAGTCTTTCAACACTGACTAAATATCAGACCTCATCAATGAAATAAAACTGAGTTACTGATTTGAGAAGCAGCTGGTCTCCAGCAGTCAGCCTCCTGGGAGATCCTCTGTCCTGTCTGTGGTTTTGTCTAGTGCTGAATGTAAAATGTTTGGACGAATTGCAAGTAAGGCCACTTTCACTGTGGCTGCACCTGTCCCTGCAACTGGGCCTTGTTTATTTACTTATCCTGCGACCGTTACTGCAAGCCTCATGCTTCACTACACAAGAAACAGCAGCTGTGTCGATTCGATTGTTTTGAAGTCCAGTAGGAGGAGTCTTTTAATGCTGCAGCAGTCTGTCTTGATGAAACTGATCACAGATGAATGAGATCATTGGGTACATCGGAAAAGTTGTAAGAGAGTGGAGGATTCTCCGTAATTTAAAACAGTTCTTCTAAGTACAGCCAATTATCTGAGCTAGCAACAGGTTGACTAACAGCAGCTCAGTCTGCAGAGGAACAACTGGTTTCTCCTGCACTGCATCTATAGCATGCTACCCAACATATGGCACTTCTGAGGGCAAACTGAAAATAGATTTTGTCACAAGGAAAAAGACCTTTCCCATGTCAGGAGACCTTGCGCCAGATGACTTAGGATCAGTGTGATCTCACATATTCTTCAGTGTAGAGCCACTTTGTGATGGTGTGATGCATCATTCTGGACAAAAAAATGCAGTGAGAAATGTTGTTCCTTCACAGAGCTTTTTTATGGGAAAGGGAGCAATAAATTTCCTTATCACATAAGATTTATTAAGGGTTAGTGGTACGAATCTAAAGCGATCTTGCTGAAAAGCTAGAAATGATGCCAAATTCTTGTTGAAAATAAATTTTAAGCACAAAAATATCAGTTGACATCTCCACCCCCACACACAAAGACTATTTGCATTTTGTCCTTAAGTTGAGAGCAGCGAAGGACAAATGCAAAGCTGCATTACATTACAACATTTTGAATTACATATATTGTATGTAATGCATCTTAACTCTTGTACAAGCTTGTGTTGCATCACTGCTCTTGCTACTCAACATAGCTTCTCTCCAGCCCTCCATAATCTGTGCATGGGAACTGCCTTGGTTGCTAAAAGAGATCAGTGAAGATCAAATAGATTTCTTCATTCAGATGTGCTGTCATGCAGCTACAGGTGCACATATTTTACTACTTCAAAGATGGTTAAAAGTGAGGGTCATAACAATACGTTTTTAAAGCAGTTTAGCGACAATGAAACATATATGGCACCTTGGGTTGGGCTTTCAGAGAAATAATGTCTGAGTGGGGCACCTCATAAATTAGTGACGCAGGGGATGTCTTTTGTTCTCTTTGGTCTGAGGTGAGGACTGTCTCAGACAAGGATTATCCCAGGCCGAGTAGAGAATGCCCCTTCCCAGGGCCCAGTCATGCAGTCCATGATCTATTGTGGGCTCTGATCAGAGGCTGTAGACATTTGCATATCACCAGTGATCTCAGCCATGTGTGAGCGAGACATTTCATTTGGTTAGTAGAATATAAGTTGGCTTACAGACAGACTCTATGCAGCACACTGCTCAGATCTCGGGTCCTCCACTAATGACTCATATCCTGTCGTCGCTTACAGATTGAGATCATATAAAAAGATAAAAAAGGGAGAGAAAAGGTCATCAGATAGATGAACACAAGTCAGAGTAAGCACTGCATTTTGTGGCCATGCACTGTGTTTTAACTCCAACTCAAGCACCTCAAGTTTCTCCAGCCTGCATGTGCAGGATGTCCTCTGACACAGGAAGCCTTATTTAAACGTCAGTGGAAGAGAAGGGAGGAGTCCGGTTATAGGGGTGGGGGGTTGTTCTGTTGTGGTGAGTCAGAGAGGAGACTGTCCGACCCAGCACGTCACATCTGATGCTTCTCCTCCTCTCTCTGTTCTTGCTCCATGAAACCTGTTTGCATGTCTCTGTCAGCGCCGGCTGAGGAGCTCGTGTTCAGCACACAGTGAACTCATTGACCCGAGCTCTGCCGGCAAAAACATCTCGCTCTGCCACCCTCCCCATTCTCACTTCGAACTCTGTAACCTCCTTTTGCCCACTGCTCCCACTCTTAGCATCAGGCTTCAGAAGGCTACTGTTGATGTATAGCTTGAGGTTGAACTTGCTGTGGTCCAGTGCCTTTGTATGGGAACAGTCATCCAAATATTACTCAAAATACTTTTACGTTTGTTCTGTTTCTGTTATTATTTTCATTGTAATTCTGGTCTTGGTTATACCTAAAAAACTTTTAAATTAAACCTTTTTAGGTACTTTATAGAACTATCCTCAGTAGTTCTTTAATAACTGGAGTTTTTTCTATTGTCAAGTAATACGTATTAATATTCTTGAAATAAACAATTCAGTAATAAATCAAAATCTGATAAGATATAATTCTCTCATTTTAATATGATTGATTATGAGTAATTTTCTGATGATTAATAAAAATTGAATGCATCTGCTGAAAGCCTATTCCTAACCCAAGACCAGTATTTCACAGACACACTCAGACAATCCGTCTGTTGTTTTGAATGAGTGTCTTTATCTCCATGCTTTGTACATCCCTGTTGAATCCTGTGGTTGGGGACATCTGGCTTTACTAACTGCAGGGAGCTGCTTTTGGGTTCACATGGGTATTGAGGGGAAATTCCCTGCTAGTTGGTCTTGTGTTACTCTTTGGTCTTTTATTGTAGCCTCAATCCAGCACAGCCGTGAGTTGCATATGAGGAAGATTTTGTCCAGAGAGACCAAGCAGTACAGTACGTCTGTGTCCTGTGTGACCGCCACACTGTTCCTCAACCATCAATGTTTTTCTTCCTGAGAGAATTACCGGTTGAGGTGCTTCTGCGTCCTTTTTCAGGGTTCATAACATAGCATTAGAGAAAACGGACTGCATGAGGCTTTACGTGTATACATGTTAGCGTAAGGACAAATGTGACCACATACAAAAAACAAGGAGTCAGTTGGGTAAAACCAAAGAAATGCAGTCTGAATTAGCAATTTCAGTAGTGTTATTGTCAAACTAGGACCCTGGGGTTGAGACAAAACACAGACAAGGTGGATCTTTATGCACATATCCAACAGCGGTGATGTTTCTGATCGAATATTTTCTTTAATGTGTCTTCTAAAATCTAATAATACCCTCTTTTCTTGTTTTGTCTGTGTTGTCTTTTCAGTTTTGCTGGAGCAGTGCTGCTGCCAGTGGAAGGGTGGGATAGGGCTGTGCCGATAAAACTGTGGAAATCACAGGAAACATATGAACGTTTCATACTGTGAGGGGGCAATAGGATGACCAACCTAACAAAAGCAACACTTTTATTAAAGGATGACAAAAGATAAACAGCACACATAACCTTAAAAGCTAAAATACTTTACTACCTGAAAATGCATTTTAATGTGATAGGATAAGAGGCTGAGACAAGATACAAGATACAAGTCATGTAAAAACTGTATAGCTTTATTTCTTCAGCCCTCCATTTCCTCTCAGGTATTTCAGAGACTTTCACTTTTCATTAGGTAGGTTAGCTGATGTTGCTGCTAGTACTTTTCATTTTGTTTGACAACTTTTATTTTGTTAGAGGTTCTTGTCTTTGGACAAAATAAAATCTGGTCAGATTTTTTGTTGTGCATTTAGTCTCTTCTTTTGTTTGTCGTCATATTCAATAACTGATACTCTGCTGTTCTAAAATCTGTCTTTCAAGGGTACCGAATATTTATTTAGTGTAAAATAAATGACACCACATATCCCATCTATCTCTCGCTCCCTCATGCCAGAGTGAACTGTTCATTGCCTGGAGAGCATGAGGAGGGAGTGGAAAAAGCTTGGTAGACATAATATTGTTGGCAGAGGATGTGGATGTATGCGTACTTGCTGTTCATCAGTCACCTTTGAAATCACACTCAACTACCCGCCACTGCTCCACTCTGTATGAAAAATGTTGAATAAAATACCTTCTCACTTCTCACTGAGTTCCCATTTAAAAGCAACCAGGGATGACTGACGGTTGCTTTTTTTTGCACCAGACTGTCAGCATTTATTTGCATAACATGACTATCAAACCTTTAAATGATATTTAATAGATGTACTGGAATAGTTGGTCATTCATGTGGAAAATACTGACCAAGTTGTTGCCCAATACCACCAAAAATAATTGTTGGAAAATAAATCTAGATGCTTTGTATGCCTCTAGCTGCATTGTAGCCGACTCAGAACGATGACGTCCACAGACAACTTAGAAATGATTCACTCTTTTCCAATCCAGAACTCCATCAGACACAACCTGTCCCTGCACAGTCGGTTTGTGCGCATACAGAATGAGGGAACAGGAAAAAGCTCCTGGTGGATGCTGAACCCAGAAGGAGGAAAGAACGGAAAGTCACCTCGGCGGCGAGCTGCCTCCATGGACAACAACAGTAAGCTCGCCAAGAGCAGAGGAAGGGCGACCAAGAAAAAGGTACAGTTCCTTTCATTAACCCTATAATTAATGTCCATCATTACAATTCTGTTGATTCTCATTTTAGTGTAAGTTAATAACACACTGGTATGTTTATGACAGCTTATGTGAGATATTTATGTTTTTCTTTTCCCAGATGGCGCTACAAGAAGGGGTTGAGGGAGGTGCCGCCAGTCCTGGTTCCCAGTACTCTAGCTGGCTGGGAAGCCCGAACTCCCACAATAACGAAGACTTCGAAACCTGGAGCTCCTTTAGGACGCGCACCAGCTCTGATGCTAGTACTCTGAGTGGTCACCATTCACCTTTCCCTTCTGAACAGGATGACCTGGGGGAGTCTGACGGCCACATGATGTATCCTGGAGCGACGGGGACCAAGATAACCCCCGTCCTGCCCAGCCTGTCCGAGGTGGCTGGATCCTTGGGCCAACGTGGATCAGAGAACGTCATGGAGAGTCTGCTGGATAACCTGAACCTGCTGTCTCCTAAAAACTCCCCACTGGGTTCTGACTCCTCGCATTCATCAAATGCTGCCATGCTTCAGAGTAGCCCCTACAGCTCAACTGGCTTGGCATCCCACTCACAACAGGACTACCGAAAGTGCATGTATGGCCAGGTGAGGATGAACTCCCTCTCCCCTGCTCCCATGCAGACACTGCCAGAGACCAAGCCAGGCTTTGGGGCATATGAGAACCAGTATATCTGCTCTGCTGGCCTACTCAAAGAGTTACTGACCGCAGATGCAGATGCCAGCAGGGACATGATGCCCTCTAGGGATATAATGGTGTCTCAGGTTGGGAGGGGAGGTTGCCTAATGCCCACTTACAGCAGCCAGAGCCATGTGGGGGGTCATAGTGGAGTAAAAATGATGAATCGTCCTCAGAGTCACCCAGTTCCTCATGTAAATCCCCAAACTATACATAGCCAGGGTCCTTCAACCTCACGAGACTTGAATAGCTGTAACATGATCCCACTGACTAGCCTGAGTAGTCTTTCAGGGGCCCCTCCTCGAATGACCAGCCTGAGGACATGCATGCAGCTGCCCCAGGGACACCCAGCACACACTAATGATGTCTTGGCAAGCTACGGCAGAAGCAATGGCTACAGGGAACTGAACTCAGTTCACCCACATGGTCATCATCAGGAGCGGCTGCCCAGTGACCTGGACAACATGTCCATTGAGCGGTTTGAATGTGACATGGAGTCGGTCCTCCATGACACCCTCATGGATGGTGGGGCGCTGGACTTTAACTTTGACCCCGCAGCTGGGAATCATGGGTTTCCGCAGAGGGTGAAGACCACCACACACAACTGGGTGTCAGGCTAGGATGCATGGTGGATCACAAACAGGTGAGAATTAGTCTGGCAGTAAGTACAATTATTTAAACTTTCAAATAATAAAATGTTCTCTGAATAACATTTCTCATTCTCCCTTACAGGTTTTCATCATCATGCCACTGCTCACTGTCATTCAGAGACAGGAGAACGTAAATCCAAAGAAACCAACACCATCACTCTCACAAAAGTTTTTTTCAAAAAATGAATGTTTTGAGCTGGAGCTCCAGGTATGACAGCGTATGTTCAGAAGTTCATCATTCAGATCTATATATTGAAATAAGACATAACAGCTAAACTGAATGAAAGACAAGCCTGCATTTACAAACTAGTCTTGTTTACAATTGCCTGTCAAAAACTGGAAATATATATATATTTGTCTATTTTTGCTGATTGGTGGCATATCAAAATATACAGTACAGTATATTGTATAAGACAGAACACAGTATCAGTGCCTCTTAAGAACGATTTCAATAAATGTACGGTGTGTGACCATCTGGTGAAAGCAGCCAGTACTGGATTAATATGGAGCCAACACAGCAGTATATAAATATTCAGGGAGCATGGATATATCTTTCTAGAGTTTGACTAAACTCGTTAAGCAGTGTTTTTTTTGGTCCATTGCTTAAAATTTCATATGGTTTGAAAATGGACAACTTTTATTACACAATGTTCTAGTGGATTCAAAAGTAGATCTGATGTTCTGTATGGTCTGATCAGTGACAGGAAGTGACAGGATTTTAAAGGTTAAATTTGAGGAGCATCTTTTAGCATCCAGCCCCCAATAGCAAGTGATTACACAAGTGCTAACCCATTAGGCTTAAATGATAGATAAACCAGTGCATCATCTGCATAGTGAAACATATTAACATTATTAAGATAGTGAATGAAATAACCCAGAAGAAATGTACAATGACAAAAAGGATATGTGCATAGCAGATTATGAAACAAACACCAATAAATTCTGAAAATATTCTGATTGGCCTACACACATCTTAAGTTTTTACAGACACATGTCATAGTACAGTGTTGTCAAAAGGCGCTCAAGTCAAATATCAGCCATATCTGCTCACCATTAGATATAACATCTAATGGCAAGACCATGAGACAAGCTGCATTTCTGACTGAAATTAACTCATCAAACATATATTGTATAATATTTATTTTATTCTAATTGTAGCTGTGGGTTTTTGCTTTGTACTTAGTAAGCTTGTAAAATATATGTGTGCTGATGCTGTGTATAATGTATATACTGTATTTGAGTTCAAACTAATATCGAAGAAGGAAAGTACAGATTCATTAGAAATGTTGCCTTCTGAAAACAGTTTGCTGAAAGTCCATATCAATCTCAATTAATGTAGAAAAGTCCACTTTGTGACAGCTCAGCATCTTATTTTGCCTTAGACTCATTGAGTATGTATGTTACTGACATGAACCTCTGTGGATTTAGGAAATTATATTCTACCCTTGAATTTATGAAAAACATTTTAAACTGCTTTGATTAAACTGAAAAGTCATGGTGATCAAGTTGGAATCAAAGCTGTTTTTTAATCACTTTCTGAAAAAGGGACATTTTGGAAAATTTTCACCTGGCTAATGTTGAGCAATACAGGGGGAGTAGGAGTAGGTGGAGATGATGATTCTAAACTGACCAGTCTTCAAAGTTTAGCTACAGTTTTTATGTACCAAAGAGTTTCCTACTCTGCCAAACACAGTTCAAAGAAAATGTTCCAATTCACTGTGCCTATGTGGTCTCTCAGACTTGCAATTTTGTACATATTATTTTCTTTCGTAGTACATTTTTGTATATGGAGGTTTTAAATGACTTGTAAGGATTGTACTGAAATATTATACTCTTATGTATGATTGTGTTAGAAATGGTTGTTTACATATCTCAGTCCAACCTATATCAATAAACATACAGTGGGGTCCAAAAGGAAAGTGGTCTCCGACTTTTGGATCCCACTGTATGAACACTCATACCTCAAAATATCTTACCTCTGAAGTGTTGAAGGGATTTTTCCTGACATTTTCCTCAGTGAGTAATGTATTGAATCTTCATTTTTGACATACAGAGTTTTGTACATATTTTTGTGTATTCTTTTTTTGTATTTGATTAATGCTGAAACCAGTTATAGTGTATTTGGACCTCATCTTTGCATTTCTAGTGTTTTCTTGTGCTTGAGGATTATAGCCATTAGTTTATAGTAAATGTTATGAGACAGCAGACTAAAAGTTTTAAATTAAACATGAATTTGTGTGAAATCGTACATTTTGGAAGACTTTGTGTGAAAATGTATATTTAATAAATAACTTGGTATCACTAAATGGCATATAAATAACATGTCAATTTGTGTGTTATCACTACGCTTTTTTTTTGCTTTTCGCACATTGTTTCACGCCAATTCATTTCTTTACTAAACCTAACTAAAATAACGTTAAATGAAATGTGAAAAGCTTAAAATGCGTAGACATGACACGTGAAATGTCCTGAAAATTGGCGTGCTACTTGTGCGCCATCCCATGATATCATGTAATCTGTTCAGTCAAAACTCAATGAAAGGAATTCAACAGAATTTATTTTCATGTTGTGGCATAAAAGTACTATGTCTATAATTATTGAAGCCTATTAAAAATAAATATGTGATGAGAGCATTTTAATAATGGGTCAACACAGCTACCTTGCACAAATGAGATTAAACTTTCAAAAGCACTTGTGCATGTAAAATTTCATTATGACGGGGAGTAAAAGGCATTTGTGCATGTAATATTTGACATTACGCAAATGGCAACACTTGCTTACAGTATGTGCAAAAATTATTGTCAGGAAAAGCAGAATGTTTTATTTTGTCTTTGATATTCACATCCAGGTATTTTTGAAAGAATGCAGTTTTTTTATACATAACCCATTCCAGTGCATAAATCACCATGTGAACTTGAAATTAAAGGAAGAAAATCAGAATTGCATTTGTGTGTGTTTATCATAGTAGCATTATAAGGTAAAATATTGCCAGCTATCATCAACTCCTACCTCAGTCCAAGTGTATTGGAAGATCTTTACTGCTTGTTTAGTGGGTTTTGGGAAGACCAAGACTGTAAAAAACTTGACTTTGCATGACTTGAAGTCATTACTGTATGCAGCTCCAGTGCCACAGAGCATCTTAAACAGTGAGGCTGGTGGTGAGGAATGAGGCTTGTGCATGATAAACACCCCTCATTAAGCACATACAGTACGAAGCCACATGCTCTCATCGAGATCCTCAGAGGTCATGCCAGGTCACACAGGTCAGTAGCATTTCAAGGTCGTATGAATGTCATGCATGAAACATCACAGTATGTACTTCTGTTGTTCAGTTGTCCTTGAGCAACCTTTAGAAAACGTATCCTCTAATGTTTGAAACAGTCACTGTATGAGTCACCAGTGCAGATTGCTCACGGTGGGCTACAATAAATTTTATCAGCCAGGAAGTCAGATTTAACTCCATGAACACTACCAGTGACAAGTCCACTACTCTTAACCACAGTTCAGTTCTGGCAGAAAAGAGAAGCTTATTAAGGCTCGTGAATTTATCAGTTGATTCCTTGAACTGGCAAGCATCATTCATTTCTATAGCTTGTATAAATATGTGTGTGTGTGTGTGTGTGTGTGTGTGTGTGTGTGTGTGTGTGTGTGTGTGTGTGTGTGTGTGTGCGTGCGTGTGCGTGTGCGTGTGTGCTCACAAGCATGCAATAAAAGCAAGCCATTGAGTCATTGTTATCGTAAATTACATCTAGGCATTTACTTGTGGGAAGTGCAGTGAATGAATGAAAGGTGTTCTTGTTGATTCACATTCTATTAGCTAAAAAAAACAAATTGTAACTCAAATGCACTGCCCACATATCGTTTCCTGGCTATCAGTCCAGGGCAGACCCCCAATGAAAAGTTCTCCACGACTTTTGATCACTATCAGAACACATTTTCATTCCTTCCTACAGTGACTCACACAGTCTCAAAAGTTTTCTTGGCTAAATGGTGTTGAATGAGCTGCACATGGGTTCCTACAGATGGGGCCTTAACCGAAGGTGTGCAGCAGTGGGGCAGTAAGTCTAAACATTTCCTAATTAATATAAATGGAAACCATTAGCACAGATTATGGGTCTTTTAAGGCTTCAGTATGCTTCAAACAAACAATGTGTCGCTCAACCACATCTTAATGTGTTTGTGCTTGTTCTAAATGGCCACAGTCATTTTTTAATGAATAATAATGATAATAATTATTATAATAATATTATATATAGTCAAATATATGGTCAAATGTCTACAAATCTGCTCTATATTCTCTTCTGTATTAAGAAACAAGCCCAATTACCAGGTTTTACTGAAAATATTCAAGCATATCTTAATGAATTACCAAATGGAATAAGAGAGAAAGCAGGTCATTACAGTATCTCAACATGACACGTTTCTGTCATAAGTGACAAACTTGATGTAACTGATTCAGTTCAGATTCATTTCCTGTAAGGAAATAGGCCACGTTACAGCTACAGAAGGAGCCTCGTGTTTGTAGGAGCACTGTTCCGTGTAGCTGAATCATCTACAAAGATCATTATCATTTAGATGATAGATAATAAATCATCAAGATTCACTTTAATTATTCAAGAATTATTGCACTTTTTTGTCAATGAAAGATATTCTTTATCAGCACTGACAGTCAGTTTCAGTACACACAGCAGCTTATCTTAAAGACCTTCCTGTCACAAATAAACATATTCAAAAACATATATAGTTGCGCTCTTCCTCGATTGCCATTACTCCAAAATATTTTGTTAACAGTAACACAACCAGCCATCTTTACACAAAATGAATCACACAATGAGAGCCCTTCACCAGCAGGGCGGCAGATCACAAATAGACTGCCTAAGTGGTTGTTGTTTTCAGAGCCATCGAGTCACCTCTGCTGCCTGACTGGTCAATAAAGTATGTCGGGAGAGGCGAAACTAGGTGGGTGGCTGAGTGCGAGCTGTCACTTATTTGTTTGACTGGGGCACATCTTCTCAGCCTCAGTGGTTACGAAACGTGCACTTTCACATAGCCCACATATACTGCTCAACCAAAGATCACTGAGATACTTGCAGAAATATAATTTGAAAAAAAAAATAGAAATAGTTTTAGAGAACTTTTTTTCCTTGCCAAGAGTTACCATCTGTCAAGACAGAACGCGAGGCAAATTTATACAGATGGCACAGTTGCATAAAAGGTCAATGGAAAGACACAGTTAGACACAAATTGACACATGATGATCAGTCTCCTGTTCTACCACATCTCAAAGGTGTTCTACTTTATTCATATCAGGTGACTGGGGAGGCCACCAAAGTGAACTGAACTGATTGTCATGTTCATGAAACCAGTTTGAAACGACTTTTCCTTTGTGACACAGCGCATTATCCTGCTGGAAGTAGCCATTAGAAAGTGGAGTCATAAAGACATGGACATGGTCGCAACAATACCTGAATCCTCACCGTAACCCTCAGATTGGCTGTGGCATTCAAACCATGACTGTTTGGTATCAAGGGGCCTATCCTTGTGTACCAAGTGTACCAAGGAAACATTCCCCACACCCTTACAACACCAGCAACCTGGAGTGTTTACCCCATGCAGGTTGGGTCCATGGATTCATGCTGTTGATACCAAATTCTGACCCGACCATCTGCGTGCCTCTCTAGAAATCCAGATTCATCAGACCAGGATACATTTTCCAGTCTTTAACTGTCCAGTTTTGGTGAGCCAGTGTCCAGTGCAGCCTCAGATTTGTCTTCTTGGCTCACAGGAGTGGAACCTGTTCTGGTCTTCTGCTGTTGTAGTACATCCACCTCAAGTTTGGACGTGTTGTGCATTCTGAGATGCTTTTGTGTCCACCACAGTTTTAAGGAGTGGTTATCTGAGGTACCATAGCCTTTCTGTCAGCTCCAACCAGTCTGGCAGAACTGCTGCAGAACTTATCATCCCTCTACCTAAAATAGTAATTTATCACACATTTATCACTAATCATTTATTCAACAAATTACAAAAATGTGTTTTTGTGACTGAATGTAGAGCTTATTCTGCAGCACAGCACATACACGATGAAGGATTTGTTGTTTGTTACTGAGACATTACCTCATGACACAGATTTGGTTTAAAGGTGTCTTGCTGTGCTCTTGATGCTCCTAATTGACTCATAGAAAAAGCAGCAGAACCTCTATTAACATCTGCATGAAGTGGAAGACAAATGTTTGTTTAATGCACCTCAGATCTGAATTAGATCATTCCTGCCATGCTTGCATAAATGAGGTGGACCTTTGTTCAATAGTTTCTCCCAAAGGGGGGCACCGGCCTGGAGGGGCTGCACAGCAAGGAGGGGCCAAGCTAATTTATCCGTGTAGCCCAGGCACAAAGCCAGGAAATTAGGTAGTTTGGGTTGTTGGAGCTTTGCTAATATAAAACACAGTATGCACATGCACACCGAGCATCAGAGCAGCAATGAATCTCTGTATCTCTCAGAGGGAAG